GCATTTTAGCATGTTTTCGCTCACTGACTTGGATTTACAGACCACACCTTAACTGTTTTGGTTCACTCTATCCTCTGAAAACTCCGACGATACACAAGCTGCCTAGCACCAAACAGCAGACACACAAAGTTAGCAACTAGCTGCTGAACACTGGGGAGACTAAAGACAGATCAAAGAAAGTAGGACTTGGATTCATCAGGTGGATCCACACACAACTCCAGATTATTTATACTGTTGCTCCACATCTTTTGGTGCGTTAATACTATTAATCAGTGGGGTCCAGCATGTTTTATGAACCTGGACAGGACTACCACAGAATGCATAGTCCTGGCAGTGAAGCACAAAGGTTGGAGTGTGATAGCATGGAGGCACAAAAATGCAAAAGGTGCTGGGAAGAATTATAGATGGTACCATGGATGTCTGTGGATATATTAGAATACTGCCTGACAAGATGACTCCCAATCTGCAGAAGCTTGGCAGAAGAGGAATTTTCCAGCACAATAACCCCCAACTCAAAAAGAGAAAGTGAAAACTGTGAACCAGAAAAGGCTACCTAACTTGAATCCTTTAAAAACACATTTGGGGTATTTTAAAGAGAAAGACGGGGCAACATGATTCCTCCAGTAACAATCAGCTGAATAAAAAAAAAAAAAATCTCTCCAGAAATTTGTGCAACATCAGGATCCTCCATGCCAGGGAGGATTAAGTCTGACATCAAAAATAAAGGTGGACATACAAAGTATTCCAAACACCAAAGATCTCGGTAATGAAAGTTGTACTGAAATTTGTAGCACTTTTAGTTCCTACTGTGGGGCTTGTATTTTAATTTAGTAAATTAAATGGATAGTTTTTAAGTTTACATCAGTGCAAAGACACTACTGCTCAGCAAAGAGGTAATCTGATTACTGTTAATCTAATAACATTCTTAATAATTCGATCACCTTTGTTCTGTAGTGTATGCCAATGTGCATACACTACAGAACAAACAGCATTCAATTTTAGAGAGAAAAACTCCAACACACACACACACACATACATATATATATATACTTTTTTATTATTATTTTACATATTTTTTTGTGACTTTAAAAACTTTTTTTCCCCTCCTGTACAGCGGTGTCTCTTGGCCCACAGTTCCTGAAGCACTTCAAGTTAAAGACTCCGCCAGAGAGTAGCATGTATATCTCCATCACCTTCATCCTGCTCTGTCTGGGAGGGAAATGTCTGCTCAACTGGGCGCTGGTGTTTTTTTCAGAAGAACCACATCTTCAAAAGCTTCCTGGGAGTTGTCAGTGTTTCCCTGGCTGTTGTTGAGACGGCCCTGACCCTCACCGTCACCACTATTCACATCATCCTCCTTGGTTTGCAGCTGACCAGATATCATGTATGTTTGCTGCTTCAAATCCTTGGATACCGCTACAGATTGCTGCAGAGTGCTGGTGTACTTGTGACTGGTTTCTGCACCGTGACTCAGAGGCTGCAAGCAGCCACCTTCAGGGCAAAATGGATTGTGTACTCATTTGTGACTGATTCGCTGTGGTGTCTTGCTGCTCTCTATGTCTTCCTGTTGTCTGACTTAATTCCTGTCTTGGATGATGTTTCCCACCACCGGATGCACTGGTGCTGGACTTTCCACACCTCTCACCTCTCATCCTACAAATTTCCACACTGCTTCTCCTGACTCTGGGCTGTGCTGCACTGCATGCTGGGCGTCCTCTTGTACTCAGCCGCTGCGTCCCACAGTTATCTCTGAATAATCCTCCTCCAAAAGATCAAATTACAGCGGAAAGTCAAACTCACATCAGGAGAAGTTTTGTTCACCAAGTCCTGCGAATATTTCTCAACACTTGGACTCTCTTCCTGTTTTTTCTGGCCATGCTCCTCCTGCTGCCTGTGAGAATACCCTCATACCTGGATCTGAACATTGCCTGGCTTTGCTTCCTCAACAGCCTTCTGATAGCAGTTGTTTTATGTGCAGTCTGGCCAGCCTCACAGCTATCGCAGGGCTTGGCATCAGTTCCTCCCGACAGCTTCTGTGAGTGGAGATTTAATTTTAGCCTGGCTGCAGACAACAAAACATGACCGCACAAAGCAGTTTATTGCAGGACATGTGTTACTAAAAGGTGATACCGACTGTGCATGCCCGAATGTCTTGTAAAAATATTTATATACCTCACTGGGGAACAGGAGAGAAATCTAACTAGACAGAGGCAAAGTCTGTCGGTCCATCATTTTTGAACAACAGCAAAAACATTGATTCTGATGCATTCTTATTTTGTTGTGGAGTGTCAGATTTTTTAAAAAATTAATGCAAGAACTGCCCTATTTTTTATTTATAGTCTAGGAGCAAAGATGCAGAGGCTGGTGAGGAGAAAAAATAATAAAGTCCCATAACACAATTACCCAAATAAACAACTACGAATAATCAGAGCAAATTTGTTGTGTGTGCTGTTGACAAAAAACAACAACAAACAAAAAACTGTAGCCTCATCATAACTTAACTACGGCAGCTTACAACCAAAACTATAAAAGCATTTTAATTGCTACTTGGCTACCTGTGTTTTGTTTAAGAGGCTACATTCTATATGTAGTTACCGGGAAGCATCCATATACACAATAATGTCACTACTGCACATATCTGTATATGTGTAATAAAACACTCGACATAATGGGAAAATACTTTGGCAAACAGATCAGACTTTTACTGACAGTAAAATAATAACCCAACCATTTTGGTCTGCTGTAGGGCTTTAACGCATGAACCGAATTAATGCTTAATAGATCGAGGACTATTTTTTATTTTTATTTTTTTAATAAACAAACAAATTTAGCTCAGGTGCTATGATATAACATCTGGTTCTTTAGCCTCCAACACCTTGGTCCAACGACAACTCTGGTCATTAAATGATAAAAAAACAGTGAAGATGATTTTCATCACACGGCAGATTTAATATTTTTTCACCCAGATGTTGTAGATTTGTGAGTGTTGGTCCTGTTAGCTTCTGTAATATAAAATAAACTTTTCTGGAGTAGTTAAGGAAATGGCTTTTAAAGCTACATCCTTTTCTACACCCGGGGTTTCTGACTGTGATCACCTGGTTGCTCTACAAGGACTGTGGTCAACTTCATCTCATCTCTACGTCCACGTAAGACTAGAAACTCTAAGGGAAAACAAATACTTCCCGGCTCTTTTTAAACTGTCTGTGCTTCAGGTAAAACATTCTGTCCCAATTAGAAGGTGATGATAATGATGTCACTGTGCTGCTGGATTTAATTCAAGAGTTTATACTAACAAGTTGAACACTGAGGTGCAACCCGGTGAATGTTTAATATAAAATAACGGGGCAATTTCTTATGATCCGACTTTGATTTTGTGGATGATGTGCCAGGAAATACTATTCAAAACCGTAAGTATTCCATTGTTAGCCCCTAATTGTGCTCATCTTGGGGTGCACTTGACTTTTATTCATCTGAAGTCAATGAAGAACTTGTGAGATTCCCATTTGTGTTACAAACAGACAAGAAAAGCAAAAGACAAGACTGGTTTTGACACTACAGAACTTTACTTGAATTTGATCCAAGTTCATTGTCTATACAGGGTTTATTTACAAGATCTGAAGTCAGGGAAGGGCAAAAACAGAAAAAAACAAACACTAGATACAACTGAGGTATTAGCTAAAAGCATTTACAGGTATGTCATTTACTAGTAAATATCAATGATGATAAACAGTTAGAGATGCAGTGTCTTCTGCTTAAAAAACATCTTTTTATATCACAACATGAGGTAGGAGAACAGTGTCTCGATTCATGCAAGAACAAAAGTCTCATCACACTGTAGTATTGGCAACGTAGTATGCAATGGTCATACACAGACACTGCGTTTAATGTTTCAGAACAGCATCGAGGGGGGAAAAAGGTTCTTTTCAGCAAAGCCATTGATTTTTTTTTTTTTTTTCCATTTAGAACAGGATGTGTGTAAATTAAAACAAGGTACTCTTAGTAGCCAGTGGTCAGTGTGATCTGTTCCCATTGCATTTCTACTTCCAAGAATAATTACTGGCTGAAAATTACACACCCAACTACAAAGCAAAGCCACCTGTAACACTTCAAAGGTCACCTCGGACTTCAGTTCACCAGTTTTCTTCACGTAGCCGGGAGGCAAATGGTTTTATGTAAATCCTGCATTCACACGTGTTCATGTGATGAAGCACAGCTCTTCTCACCTTGTTTTAGTCAGTTGGGCAAAATTCACACCTGTAAAAATTCTGTACAAATCCTATCCAAGTTCTCATAACACTGCAAAATGCAAAAAGGCCCAGCGTGCTGTGTTACAAGGGATTTTTCTCTCCTATTATTTAGTCCTTTTTTTTTCATTAGGATGTACAATTAAAGAAGCTAAACAGCGCCCCCTTATGTATAAAATGCTAACTATTCAGAGAGTAAAAGCACAGATGTCCATCAGATATTTGTTCGTGTTGTGAATTAAAAGAACATTTTAGTTTTTTTGTTCTGCCAAAGAGGTAACCGAGTGATTAAAAACGAACACTGATTATCTGTGTGATCACTGACAAGGATAATATATGATCTTAAATCAGAAAACATAACCACACATCCAGAGCTACATGAGCAAGTTTTCTCTTTCCCTTTTCAAAGCTGCTGTGCTTCAGACATGGGAGGCCAACACACACACACACACACACACGCATACACACACACACACACACACACGCATGTACGCAAAATTTCCAAATCAAATTAGGCTACAGTTTCTATTCTTCATAATCTGACTCTTGACTTTATATTTAGCCAACTTCTGAACCATTAATGAATATAAAACTTGCACATGTTCAATATTCATGCATATGAGCCATCTCAATAGTGTGTGCATTACGTGAGGGAAACTTCTTTCTTTTTTTCTTTTTTTT